AGTCTTCTATGAGAATGTCTTCTCTAGTAGTTGTTGTTGATTGTATGCTTTGTAATATGGACAATGAATCTGTACATATAACCACCCTATCTGGTCTGACCTCTTCAACCCACTGCAATCCTATTATTACAGCAAGCATTTCTGCTGTATACACTGATAATTGATCAGATGCTCTTTTTAAAATAGATATTTTAAAGTCTAGGATGTATATGCCAACTCCAACACACTCTTCCTTGTTCTTAGAACCATCTGTATAAATTTGTAGGAAATTGTAGTACTTTTCGTTCAGATATATACTTAATTCCCACTTCATTTATTTGCCACTCTTTTTTCCTTTCTACAATACTCATATCTATTTTAGCTTCTGGGAACAACCATGGGGGAACACTGCTAAATGGGATTGCTTTGGCAAACGTGATATTCTCCACTCCATATGCCCTCGTTCTTTCCTTACTTGTCCAGCCAAACCCACGTCCCTGGAATTTTGTATATTCCCAGCAATTCTGTAATATTCTGTTTGTGATATGTTCCTCTCCACTTCCTTGTAGCCTGACCCAGTATGACAAAGCAAGTTTCTCTCTTCTGATCTCCAGCGCTGTCTCTCCTGCTTCTATCAGAACTGCATTGATAGGGGATGATTTTATCGCTCCAATACACAGCCGCAATGCTTTATATTGTATTCTATCTATTTTTAAAAGCGATGTTTCTGCTGCTGCTCCATACACTATACAACCATAGTCTATTGTGGACCTCATAATTGATCTGTAAATGTCTATTAATGCTTGTTTATCTGCGCCCCAGTTGCATCCAGCTACAGCTCGCAATACATTTAATACTTTTTTGCATTTTGTTTCCACTTGATTAATATGCATTTTCCATGTGTATTTGCTATCAAACCACAGTCCTAGGTATTTGAATTCATTCACCTTTGTCATTGGACGATCATATAGTGTTAGCTGTTGGCCATCAATCTTGCATTTGTTTGTAAATACCATGTAGCATGACTTGCTTTCTGACATTTTGAATTCCCCAGTTATATGACCACCTCTCCACTTTTTTAATCGCTCTAGCTATATTCTCCATTACGTATGGGGCATTTCTTCCTCTCATCCAAATAGCCCCATCATCTGCGTACAGAGCCGATTGTATGCATGTGTCTAAGCATGTAAATATATCATTAATCATGACGTTAAATAATATTGGACTGACTGCACTCCCTTGGGGGATACCATTTTCTATTTCAAAATAATTGGAAATATCTGCTCCTCCAACCTTTACTCTAAATGTCCTGTCTGTTAAAAAGGCCCTTACCCAATTGTACATTCTCCCTCCAATACCCATTCTACTCAATTTGATCAGTAACCCATCCCTCCACATAGAGTCATACGCCTTTTCAATGTCAAAGTACACTATTGCCATTATCTCTTTCATTTTCAATGTTTTTTCCACATCGTTACTCACTCTTACTAAAGCATCTATTGTGGACCGCCCTTTACGAAATCCGCTCTGAAAACTACTCAGCAGCCCTTTCTGTTCCAGTACATGTGAGAGCGGACAATGGTCTTTTCCATCCATTTACATAGGTGTGATGTAAGAGCTATTGGTCTGTAGTTACTAGGGTTAGCTGTATCTTTCCCTGGCTTATTGAATGGTAGCACGATTGCTGTTTTCCACACACTTGGCATATCTCCTTCTCTCCAGATTTTATTGAAAAGACTCAGCACCATTTCCATAGTTTCTATAGGTAACTGTCTAAACATAGCATAACATAGCTGGTCTTGTCCTGGGGCTGTATATCCTGTACCTTGTAAGGCTATTTTGAGTTCTGACATTGTAAATTCCACATCCAGAGCTGACCTATTATCCTGTCTCTTCTCCTTCACGTTTTCATTCTCTGCTAGTAACTGCTGTTTTTGCTGCCTATGAATATCACTGAGATGCTCCCCACTATGTACTGCTGCAAGTGTCCTTCCTAACATATCTGCCTTCTCTTTATCTGTCACTGCCAGCCTCTCCCCATCAACCAAAGCTGGAATTTTAATGGATTTCCTTTTCCCACTCATCTGCTTAAACATGGACCAGACATCACCTAATTTAACTCCTCTGCCAATGGTAGAACAAAATTCTCTCCATGTTCTCTTTTTTGTATATTTTATTGTCCTTCGAGCAGCTGCCCTTTTCCTTTGAAACTCTATAACTGTCATGGTGTGTGAAGCAGGTAGGACCCAAATGCAGATTAAAGTGAGAATTCCTTTATTTCAAGGCTAGGTGATATACAAAGACAAAACAGAACACTCACCGACGAACTAGTCATGACACAAGACGAACCGACAAAGACAGACAGAAAAATCAGAACTTAAATACACACAAGACTAATCACAGAAACAAGACACAGGTGAGGAGGGAGGAGAAAACACAGGGACACCAGGTGAACACAATCGGGTAAATTAGACACACCAGGGAAACTAACGACCGGGAACCACAGACAGATTTAAACAAGACACAACGCAGACAGAAACAGGCAAGACAGGAAGTGAAGACCTTTCAACATAAAACATGAAACAAGACAAGACACCATAAAGACAGATCGTGACAGTACCCCCCCCTCAAGGGACGGATCCCAGACGTTCCACGTTTTCACATGGGTTGTATAAATTGATTATCCTAATGTTATCTTGTTTCCTAGGGTTGCAAATTTCCACTATAATACACTGTATATCATCAGGAGATTGCACCTCCCTGTGCGCCACACCATCTTTGAGAAACGTGGCACCCTCCACCATTTTGACTATTAGCTCTATCATGCCTTATACAGCTAAATCCTGGAATGACAAAGTCTAATTGAGGTCGTAACCAGGTTTCTTGCACACATATTACCTCAGGGACTACCTCTAGCTCATATATATATTTCTTGAATTCTTGACCATTAGCTATGAGGCTTCTTGCGTTCCACTGTAGTATGTGCAGAACCATGATTAAGGATCTAACCCTCATCCTGATTTTCATTTTCCCCAGCTCCATTTATAGCTAACATTGCATGTATCTGATCTGCTTTAATATCTTTCATGTCTAGGAATTTCCCAGCTGCCTCCACAATGGCTTTGATTCTATCACTTTTCTTTTTTAACTGTAATGCAACATTTACAGTATGGCATGTGAATACCACAAAATTCACCTTTTTCACTCCTAGAACATCATCATCCTCTTTACTCTTGGTGGCGCTGTGGGGTTGGATTTGAAGATTACTTTTTGGTGTGTTCCTGCCATTTTGTATTGTACTGCTCTGCTCCATTCCACTAGGGGTCTTATTGATTGTTATTGTTCCCCTTACTTTCTTTATTGCTTCTGCGTATGAAACTTTGTTTGTAATCTTAACCCTCTGCACCTCTCTGGCCTCTCTCTGCACTTCACATCCTCCAAACGCAGCACTGTGATCTCCTCCGCAGTTACAACATTTAACCTTTGCATCCTTTTCACATTTTCCATACTCATGTTGTCCTCCGCATCTCGCACACCTTAGCTGTCCTTTACACTGCTGCGCTGTGTGCCCCATTCATTGACATGCGTAGCACCTGAGAGGTTTGGGAATGTACTCCCCTAACAATGAAGTTCAGATATCCCATTTGTACTGCCTTAGGTAATGTTCTCTCAAACTGAATGAGAACTGATAATGTTTCTTTGAGTGTGCCATCCTGTTTGCTTTTAAGCCTTGTGACTTCCACTACTTTGCCTCCTTTTAATTCACTTTTAACATCTTCCACTGACATGTCCAATGGTAGGCCTACTCCTGATATTACTTCTCTCAGTTTTGCCATTGCTCCTGGGACATGCGCCTTCATTTTCTCCCCATTCAGTGAGTTCATTCCCAGTATCTTTTCCTGCTGCTGTTTGTTATCGGCATGTATCAAAACTCGCTTGTTGTTCATGAATTTAGCAAATTTAATTTTTCCAATCTCTTTTTCAATTGCTTTGGTAAGTTTAATCGGGTGGTAATGCCCACCATCCTGATTGAATTCTATTACAACTTTCCACTCGTGTTCTAGTTCTTTATTCAACATTGCTTGGCTGACACTTTGACTGATTTTTGATGTTTTGCTTTGATTAGCCTTGTCTGCTTCACCCGACCAATCCGACCAACTTCTAGCTCTTACTGAACTATCTCTTTCTCTCAAAGATCTTTTCTTCCTCGCAGCTTTGGATATCATCCATTCCATATGGTTTCTTTGGCTACCATCTGAGCTGGTTGACATGATGAAACAGTCAATGTACAGTTTATGCAAATCGCCAAAAATAACAGTCCAATGCTACCGTTTCTGTATGTATCCGAGTTTTCCGATTCTCTCTGAGCTTTCTGTCACGCGTCTCCGACTTCACTTCCTTCCGGCGTCGCCGACTCGACTTCAGACCGAGGAGGGGCTCTGTAAGGAAGTCTGAAGGAAGGGGCAGATTTTTTCCGGTTGTGTACTTTCAAATTCTAGCGCACTCGAGCTGGTTTCTCTAAAATTACCTACCCCCACCTTTAATGTAATGTAGCCTATGTATGTTGTAAATGTATGTATGTTGGTAAAATGTAAATTCATTAGAATTCACCAACAGAATATCCCTTGAGTTGCAGCTGTTAAAAGCCAAGGAAATCCATATGATCAGCATGCTTTAATTGGATTCAATGTTTTTTCAGAAAATATCATTTGTTTCTTGCCTATATATTATTCAGATTTACAAAGCTCACTTAAAAAATGAAACTTGAACTAAGAACCAGTGGTTTTTAAAATACATCTATGGACTTCACTTTGTCAAGCCATAACTTGGGAACAAAATGTTCCTTCATTAACATCTGCACAAAGCAACACCTTCTTGCTAGCTATGGCCCTGTAATTATAGTTAGACTTTATGTCATAGGAGTATTTGATGTTTGGACAGACTGAAGGAAGGATAATAGTGGTGTTTACATTTTTACTTGGTGTCCAGAGACAGAAAAAGATGAATAGGCTACTACATCGTAAATGACAGGATACTACACTTTATTGTTCCTTATGTTGGAATATGATTTCAGTATAGAAAGACATTACACAGAACAATATGCAAAAATAAACACATGAAACAGTCTTGGCAAAAATTGCACCAGCTTAAAAGTGCAAAGCTTCAGCCGTCCTAATTATATACATAGAAACCTAAAAGATAATTATGAACATATTTACATTCGATCTAAATGCATTAGAGTTCAAGGAGTTATTCTTCAAAATGAATCTAACTTACTGAAATATGATTTGAAATTGCAATCAGATATATCAGAAGCCTGATTGATTTTACTCAGCGGCAGGTTTTTCGTGAGTTTCGATGTGCACTTTCAGATTGGGGGCAAACCTGTACCTCATACCACAAATATGGCAGCCATACGGCCTCTCTCCTGTATGTGTGGTTCTATGTCTGGTCATCTGTCCGCTTTGGCCAAAACGTTTACCACAAATATCACATTCATAAGGTTTTTCTCCTGAATGGTATCTCATGTGTGTTTTAAGATGACTGCTAGTATTAAAAAGTTTGCCACACAGGCCACATTGATACGGTTTTTCTCCAGAGTGACTTCTTTTATGAATTGTAAGGTTCTGGCTCTGACTGAATGCTTTTCCACAAACATCACAGTGATAGGGTTTCTCCCCAGAATGGGTCCTCACATGCACAATCAGATGCTCTCTTCGATAAAAAGTCTTGCCACATTCTTGACAGACATACTCTTTTATGCTTATGCTTCCGTGTATTCTTTCATGCAGCCGGAGACAACGCATATTGGCAAAAATCTTGCCACAAACCTCACAAAAACATGTTTCGTTGTGACAATCTTTAACATGAATGATCAGGTCCTGTGTAGACTGCAATGTCATCCCACAAGCAGTGCAGTCAAAATTGTTCTCATGTGTTTTTATGTGCTTCATCAAAGAGCCAATATACTGGAATCCCTTGCCACAAAAATGACAAAAGCTGCGACCCTTTTCACTTTTAGCTTTGTTCTTCTCACTAGGCATTTCACTTTGTCCTTTGCTTTTATTTGTGTTGGTCTGTTCTCCTTTGTTGTTCACTGACTCCTCATCCCTGTCACTGTTCTCACTCTCAGCCGCCGAGCAGCCTGAAGAAACTGGCTCCAGTTCATATGATATTTCTCCCTCTTGCAGATCTTGCTCACTTTTCACAATTACAGAAGAAGGGAAATAATTGTCCTGTGTTTGACCGTCATCCCAAAGTTCCTCCTGCTCTTCTTTTATCTCTGGCAGCTCAAAGTCTGACTGAACCGAGCAGTAGTTCCAGTCATTATTGTCCAGATCTGCACTTGTTTGAGAGGGTCCTGGGATCGCAGCATTAAAATGTGACTCTTCTGGTGTTGAGGGTCCTGGGTTCTCCTGCAGCAGTGAGGCATCACACTCGTCTTCTTCACTTTCCACTGTGCTGCTGGTCAGTGAACGCTCTGCAGCTGCAAGAAAAAGGTGACCAAATTACCCAACATGTTATGTTTCCATTTATAGTAGGGTTTGAACAATTTTCTTGAGAAAAATAAGTATATATATTATAGGTTTTGATTATAATTATTGATGCAGTAATGTGTGTATCACAGCTGGTAAAGGTGGAGCTAATTTGAATGACTGTGTAAGGTAGCTTGTGGATTTACTCCAGGTGTAACTAAAGTCTTATTTAAGTGTTGATTCAAATTCATATCATTAATCCAAATCTGCAAAGTAACTAAAGGTATAAATGGGATCTTAGATCTTTGGATCATTAGATCTTAGAACAGCAAACTCCCTTGGAATTTTTAAATTAAAAGACCTATCTTTTAATTGTGGGTAATTTGAGTGGTATCACTCTTCATGTTTGATTGTTTTGTGATCCAACTCTTTCTGTTTATTTTGACAAGTTTACAATTTTTATTTTTTTTTACAACTTCTTTTTAATTATGTTCCTTACTCTTTATTTATACTCATTGTTATTATGTATCTTGCTCTGTAAAGCACTTCTGCATCCTCGCTGAAAGGTGTTATAGAAACAAATAAAGTTTATAAAATAGATGTAGTGGAGTAAAAGTACACTATTTACCTCTGAATTGTAGTGGGGTACAAAGTAGCCAACAATTGAACCACTCAAGTAAAGTACAGGTCCCACAAAATGGTACTTAAGTACAGTAATCGAGTACATTTACTTAGTTACTTGATACCACTAAATATGAGTCCCAAACCTGGTTTCTTCCGCAGATCCAGCGGTGGTGGCGAACTTTCAGCCTCCTCTTCACACAGGTCGGAACCACCGTCCGCTAACAAAGCTAACTTTATGGTTTTCTCCACTTCTCCGAGGATATCCTCTGCGGCTCTGTACAGCCGCTGATGAACAAACAGCCTCAGCTTAATCAGTGCTGTGTCCATGTCTCCAGATGTAATGATGGCACAATAATATTACCAATAGTATCAGAAATAAGGAAGATAAACGTAGCTAACCTAGCTTCAACCATAGAAGTATTAAGAAAAAGCTCGAACGGTCGCTTCTTCTTCTTTTCCAGTCGTCGGCTAGCGAACCAACTTTAAAGTAGCATACCGCCATCTAGTGTGTCGGCGTGTGAAGGATGGGAGGAGAAATCACATCTGGATTATATAACTAACCATAGCTTACTTAATGTGTCTATTAATGGCATTCTTATTATTTTCTTTGACAATTCTCTTATTACATACAGTACATTATTAATGGTCTGTTTTGGTTTCTCTTCAAGGTGACAGATTTGATTGACTTTCCCCCATTGTTTATGTATAGTATGGATTGAACACTTTTATGCCTTGATCGTGCTATGAATACCTTCATTCTGCGGTAGTTATCTTCCTTTAAACTGTTTAACCTGTATGTAGGAGTTATAGCAGACAAATTAAAAATTATAATTGGGATTATAGTCGGAAGGAAAACAACATACTTACATTTTGACAAGTGACAATAAACCCAACAAACCAAGAATTTAAATTTGTTTATGAAATGCATTTATTACATTTTATATAGGTTTCTAACTACCCCATACAAAACCGGCACAATGCCATTGCATTAAATATACAGACATATGAGCAGTAAAGCAATACACTCACTATGTCAGCCGTATTGGGTCAATATTGTATGTACATTAAAGGTCTCCTATCATGCAAAATGCACTTTTTAATGTCCTTGTGTGTAATGTGGCCCTGGTGTAGCAGGGTACTCACAAAGTGTCAGGAAACAAAACTCTCTCTCTTTTCCTCCATACCCTAATTTTCTGAGTGTTTTTTTTGTTTTACGACCCCCCTTAGAAAAAACGAAGAGACAATTTAGTTTTGAACTCTCTTAGATGAATGACGCAAGTTGATTTAGTGTTAAAGATGCAGAAAATTCATCATTGCCTTTGTAATGGCATGTTTTTCATATATATTTTAATCTAAAACTGCATATATGTTTATATTTAAGCTTACAAGATGGTCTGCCTGGTTAATGTTAGCGGTTTCACTCAGTGGCTGCCTTTTCATGAGATTTCAGGTGCAACTTCAGACCAGGTGCATACCTGTATCTTATACCACAAATATGGCAGCCATAGGGCCTCTCTCCTGTATGTATGGTCCTATGTGTAGTCATTTGCCCGCTTTGGCGAAAACGTTTACCACAAATATCACACGGGTAAGGTTTTTCTCCTGTATGATATCTCATGTGTGTTTTAAGATGACTGCTTGTATTAAACAGTTTGCCACACAGGCTACAATGAAACGGTTTCTCTCCCGAGTGACTTCTCTTATGAATTGTAAGGTAAGTGCTCTGACTGAATGCTTTTCCACAAATATCACAGTGATAGGGTTTCTCCCCAGAATGTGTCCTCATATGAACACTCAGATGCACTTTTTGGGAGAATATCTTGCCACAGTCTTGACACACAAACTCTTTCATGTCTTTATGAATTTTTTCATGCAGCCGGAGGGAACGTAGTTTGTCAAAAGTCTTTCCACAAACACCGCAAAAACATGTTTTTTTGTGATTACTTTTCAAATGAGCTATCAGCTCTTGTTTGGACTGGCATTTCATCCCACAAACAGTGCAGTCAGTTGACTTCTCGTGTGTTTTGATGTGCTTCATCAAAGAGCCTACATACTGGAATCCCTTGCCACAAAAATGGCAACAGCGACCTCTTTTTCCACTTTTAGCAGGACTTTTGTCATGGGGCAATAATGCTTGGTCCTCCTCATTAACGCTGCCACTTTGTCCTGGGAATATCATTTCGTTCTGCTTCATTGTCTGTTCTCCTTTGCTTTTCAAACCCTCATCATCACTGTCATTGTTCTCACTCTGAGCTGCAGAGCAGTCTGAAGAAACTGGCTGCAGTTCATATGATATTTCTCCCTCTTGCAGATCTTGCTCACTTTTCACAATTTCAGAAGACAAATACATCTCCTGTGTTTGACCGTCATCCCAAAGTTCCTCCTGCTCTTCTTTTATCTCTGGCATCTTGAAGTCTGTCTGAACCGAGCAGTAGTTCCAGTTATTATTGTCCTGATCCGAGCTTGTTTGAGAGGGTCCTGGGATCTCAGCATTACAATTAGAGTCTTCTGGTGTTGAGGGTCCCTGGTTCAGCAGTGGGGCATCACACTCATCTTCACTTTCCACTGTGCTGCTGGTCAGTGAACGCTCTGCAGCTGTAAAGGTATTAGATGCAGAAGTTACCCAACATCCTGTTCAGCTTGCAATTTAAGTAAAAGGAGAAACTACAATTTGAAATCAGAAGTTGAGACATCGGGCTGCTGTCAGATCAGCCAATGAGTGAGATTACTCGCATCATGCAGGAGTATGAATTACAATACAGTACATTTGTATATTACTTGCTTTCTTATTTGGGGGCCCTACCCTGCATTTTACTGTTAAATATGCCGTAGGGAAAACGTTATTAAAAAAAGCCCATAGTACATTTGTTTATCCTCTAGTTGAACACAGACTTAGACGGATGGTTACACTAAACCAAACTTAAAAGGAGCCTCAAACCTGCTTTCATTCGCAGGTCTAGCAGGTCCTGCAGACGTCCAGCCTCGTCTTTAGATGGACCTTCCTCGAAAGCTAACTTTATGGTTTTCTCCACCTCTCCGAGGATCTCCTCCGCCGCAATGTACAGTCGCTGATGCACAAACGACCTGAGCTGAAACATTGCTGCGTCCATGTCTCCAGAGAGGTTTGTGGAAAGCAAGAAGATAAACGCAGCTATCCTAGCCCAGCGCCATCCTAGCCTAAACCCTCTAGCTAGTTATCCGCTAGTAGCCACAATATTATTTCCGGTTTGAACCTTTCAAAAATAAAAGGGCCAATCCGAAATCATACAGTCTATGTCACAAACACATTACACAAATATTTGTAGAAATAAACTGCGTAAATTACCTCATTGGGATTGATTAAGTGAGGGTTTGACACCAGTACTCTTTGTCCATCTTCACGTTTGTTGTCCTTATAATTAGGTTTACAATACTGCAATATTGTGTTCTTATGGATTACTAATATTGGAAGAGGGTTTAATTTACAATAGTGTTTTATAATAAATACATACATACTTATATCAATTCATTGCAAATAAACCTTTATAAATACAGTCTATGGAATACACTGTTAAAGTATCTGATTGTGCGGCACATTTTAACTTCATGTTAAAGTCCTCCGGTTTTATTTTGAAGGCCTGAATATCAAACCGGATGGGATGTTTTTTCCATCAGAGAGTGCCTGTGGTGAGATAACTTTTACCAAGCATTGCCTGGAGAGCAGGGAAATGTCGTTCTGTAGTTTCTTCGGCGGAGAGGTCTATAAAGACCATTTCCAAACAGGTATATCTTCAAATGTGTGTACTTTATTCAAATGTCTGCTTGATACGGTCTGCTGTTTAGAGAATGTTTGGCAAAAGTAAATGTAACGACAACTAGCTAGCCACTGTTAGCTAACTACTCCATGTAACGCTTAATACATTTGCAATATCCGTCTAATGATGCACTAGTGTCCATTAAAGCTTTAGCTACAATACACCTTTACAAGCTGTTGTTAAGACGATTCATGTGTTCACAGAAAGCTAAATGTATGGACATTGAAATGATGAAACAGTGTTGTAAGTTGTGTAACCCATGTTCAGGTTACACAACAACTATGTTGTAAAACTAGTTGATGTTTACAAGAAATAATACTTCCTTTTAAATATGACACCCTTAAACAAATACATCATTATTTCTAAGAATCATTACTACAAAGGCATATAAACATTTTGTTTTGTTTTGTTTTACTTTTTATATACCGTTGTTATATGGAAGAAATGTGTTTGTACCAAATCCTGATTAGAGCCACTATATTTTTGCACTATGGAATATGAGCCAGTGTTTTTGTTTGTGACATTATGTAACAATGTCATTACCATAAAAAAGTAACATTTTCTAAATTGTATGTGATGAATTATAAGTTTTTTTGTTGAAAGACCGGTACTATCATACTTGATGTCAAGTTAAGTATAAGCTTGGGCCATCCTACATCCTTAATAACAATAATATAAAAATAGGTCTTATATTGCCTCATATTATTGTTTACGAACCATCCTCTTCCATGCTTTAATCCTCAGGGTTTTATGTCTGCTCCAAATGTGACCACCAGCTGTTCACCAGCCGCTCCAAGTACGAACACTCATCTCCCTGGCCAGCCTTCACAGAGACCATCCATGAGGACAGTGTGTCCAAACAACAGCAGAGACCTGGGGCGTATAAGGTACAATCAATACAAAATAGATTGATTGATTTATTTTACCGTTAATGAAACCTGTCAGAGGACCCTATAAAAAAAAGAATGCTATAAAACACATTTCATACTTGTTTAAACCCTACTATCATCTTCTGTACATAGCTAGCGTTAGATAAACAAGTACATTGATTAATGAATCAACTTCTGATTCTGCTGTGTTGTTCCAGGTGCATTGTGGGAAATGTGGAAATGGACTAGGCCATGAGTTTATGAATGATGGGCCAGGCAAAGGCATGTCTCGCTTTTGAATATTCAGCAGCTCACTGAAGTTCGTCCCTAAAGGTACGTCCCATATTTAGCAAACACAATCCTAGACCATTTCCCCTGTGGTGGAAATTCCACACTTAATCACCTTCTGGTAAGAAATGAACAAATAGAAGTTTAAACCAAAGTTGTGTTATTTAATAAAGAGTTAAAGCAGATAACCCTGCACTACTGATGTATTACAAAGGTCTGACGCTGTTACAACAGAAAAACAAGCACTTTATACAGGAATGAGACAAAGGAAAGGGGAAGGTCTCAGATAGGGAATTTACATTACAGGCTATTGAAATGTTGGCCAGACGGGCGAAACTTGCATCCTTGGTAATCACAAACATAAGATCCAGAGGATAATTGCTTGACAAACAATGGTCAAGGCGACACCCTTCTGTCTGAGAACATTTAGTAGTAGTGAATTTAAACTGTTAGAAAATCAACCACAGATATACCTATATATATTGACTTATGGTACATTTCCATGATACCCCAATTCTTCTTCTTTTTTTACATTGGTTAGGTCTGGCATTACACAAAGGAGAACAGATACCACCCTTGTAAAGATGCATTGGCTGTGATGTACAACCTGTGAAACAACTCTATTCTCTCCCCTTTCCACAGATAAGGTTGATGGACAGTAAGGTGAGCCGTTAGAGGAAAATGCTGCTAGAGTTGTAGCGGTTTCTCTGAGCTGCTGAAGGTGTGGACAGTAGATGAAGTGTTCTGGGATAAAGCCCAATCTGGGAGCGCCAGGGCTCTGAAGAATGATGTCCACACTGAACAGCATAAACAGAGGACTGGTCTCAACACTTTTTTACTATGCAATCATCACCATCTCAGCGTAGTCTCACAATCACAGTCACTACCGATTTTTCTAACCCCGGTTTCCAAACCCAAGGAATTGGTACTAAGACAGCCCTAAATCTAAGACTAGATGACGTTTTCTGATGACTGAATTAATAGACAACTGCATCTACCTCCTGTGTTTGATGTGCCAGATACAGAACATTAATAATAATTCTATTTTCACTCTTAAGCTTTATGTAAATTGTTTACAATGATGGCTATGCAAACTGAAATAAATCTATTGTAAAAGAACTTAACTCACAATGCTCTGCTTTTGATCTTATGTCTGTGTTCTTCTTTTCTCTTTTAAAAATGTTATTCAGTAATGAAATAAGTAGATAGATGGAGTCTCTTATTCTCGACCAAACTGGATCTCAGGTTCAAAACTACAGTATCAGAATTGAGAGAAAGTACTGCTGAAGTATTACTAATGATGAATATGGTATCCTGAGGTGGAAGGAGTACTCATATATTTTACTTGTGTGAAAGTAATAGCACATAGCTTTTTTTTCAGTCTACATTAACGCTACTTCTCAGTGATGTAAACACTGCCCTCAAGTGGATGAAAAGAGAATGAGATCAGACATTACACAAGCAGGACAGAGCAGCTGACACTTGACACCTTCACTCAGACATACAAGTCCAGCTTAAGTCGGGCGACACTTGTAAACAAACATTTCAAACTAAAGAGAAATCCTGTTTGGTTAAAACACACTGACATTTGAAATGGATGAAATGTCATATTGCTCTTTCTCTGGTGGAGAAGAATACAAAAATCACTTCCTACCTGGTGAGTAGCAAAGAAGCGTGATGTCCCACTGTAGAGAAAATTAAATTAATTAAAAACTCCACTCATGTTTTTTCTTCTTCTTCTCAGGCATTTATGTTTGCTCTGAATGCGGGCACAAGTTATTTTCCAGCATGTCAAAGTTTGAGCACTCTACTCCCTGGCCGGCCTTTTCACAGACTATTCACGAGGACAGTGTCACCAAACACCCTGAAGCATGGGGACCCTTAAAGGTAGATCACCTTCGCAAAAGTAACACTGCTGGATGTTTGTTATTAAAAGAGAGGACATTCTCATCATTTACTTTACAATGTACATGTTATTAATCATGCAATGTTTAGGTGTTGCGTTTTGATGAACCCTTCTTGATGTTAATATCCCAGGTTAGTTGTGGGAAGTGTGGCAATGGATTGGGCCATGAGTTCTTGTACGATGGACCAAAGGAAGGGCTATCCCGCTTCTGAATATTCAGCAGCTCACTCACATTCATCCCTAAAGGTGAATTTGTCCTCACAAATACAGTACATTTACATCCTGTGCACTTTTAACCCTCTGTTTGTTTGGTCGATTTCTCTCCCCACAGAAAAGGTTGATGGACAGAAGGGTGAGCTGTGAAAGAGAAGAACGCGTTCTGCTGCTGAAGGTGCGGACAGTTGATGAAGAGCCTTGGAACAAAGCCTAATGGAGCTCCAGGGCTCTGATGGACATTGTCCTCACCGTGCAGCAAGAACAGACCAGTCTCAGCCACTTTTAAACCAGGTCTCAATTCTACCACATTAAACTGTACAACGGAACAAAAACGATTTAATTATTAACTTACCCCTCTGGAAAACACTGGAACGATCCAAGTTTGAGTTAAAGTCTAACCAGTCACATTGATTGCATGCCTCACCACACCACTCTTGATCTATGAACATTTGTTAAACACACTCTTTAAAGTGTAATTGCATGCTTCGCTCAGTTGATGGGGCTATATGCCCTCAAAGCAAATCTTAAATGGACTTCATCCACAAGTGGGTATTACTATAGACATAGTTGGTTCAAAGTGAGGACAAAGTCTCACTGGGAGAACTCCATCTATTCAGAGCAAAAAATACTCAGTATTATGGCAACAAAGAAGCCTTATTACAGTAGTTCACAATGTATCGCGTAGATTTTTCACAATTCATTATTTTAATGTGTCACAAAAACCTAGTGTGTTCATTGAATTTGGTTGGCATTCTTGGTCAAATACACCAGCTAACAGTGCAGTAAACATCATGCTCATGCCATCGTTGTTATGAGATGAACCTGCTTTAGGAAGTAGATACTTGATTTATGTGGATAACTCCGACATATGGCCATGTTCCAGACCTGAGAGTGTTCTGTATTTTTTAGTCAGTAAACCTGCTTTTTGGCTCATGCCGTGGTGGAATTATAAACAAAGTGAGGGTGTGAGGGTGCGTTCAACAGCCCGTCTGCTGTTTAAACGTCTGGCAGAGAGCAGGTGTGGAGCTGCTCGTTTCAAAGGCTGGGAGATCAGAGGGGAAGATGAAAGATGCAGTGTCAGGCAGAGGATTAAGAAAGGAAGTGCAAACATTCATAGATTGTAATGTGTAGGATAGCATTTAAAGCAAAGACTGTTTTGTGCATCTGATGATGATCCAAATTCTTGAATTCACTTCAGAGAGAGCAGCTGTTCAGTATTTTAAGTGATGATAAAGTAATACCAATCTCGTGAGGTGTCTTTCTCGTGCATTCTCTGTTGTATCGCCACACAGCTGACACACAGACTGAATTGTCCTCAGGGTGACGTCTGGAAGACAAAAGGGGGGTTAGAGAGGTGTAGAGCCACCCTCTCCCTAACTCACCACTGACAGAGACCAACACTCAAAGATAAACCAGATGTGAGAATGAGAAATGGAGAAGAGCAAGCAAATGATCCACAACTTTAATTAACATTTGCTATCTGCGAGAACACTCCTTCTGGCTGGCATGTGAGCACAGCTGTTTGGCCGAGAGGAAGGAAGGAGGAAGTGGTAATCCTCTGATAGAATCACGAGACAGACGTAAACGTAAATCGTAACCACACTCTTCCTTCCACTGCCCCCCAGGGCTCATCCTGCTCATGAGCAAATTCTTAATTACATTAAACCGGTACTACTCCAAAGCCTTCCACTGTCCCAAAGGCCGAGCCTCGGGGTACAATTTGAACCTATTTGTGTGCCTCTGACTCATTCACAGGGACATCTTGTTTTAATTGTTATGTATAAGAGGCTGTTGCTTAGATGTGGATGTTTACGGGCACTGCACCTGCTTCTGTTTTGAGCCACAGAGAAAATTGTCTCATTCTGTCTCCACACGCCACGACAATATATCCAGTTTCATCAAGGTAGGATTCCCTAAAAACATCTGCCATCCAGTGGCTCGGCTTCACACACTGCAGAAGCTGTGATCACTTTGTGGGAGGAATAAAGCTCCTGAATGCACGACTGTAACGGAAATAGAGAAAGCTTCTTTCATCAGGGAGTAATGTGAGTTATCCCACTATATATGATGTCTCCATCTGTACACGGCAGGGCTGCCCTCCACATGTTACAGACCACATGTGTTGGCCAAATGTCTGCATCCCCCTGTAATGACTGAAAGGATAAACAAAGCTTTTATACATGACACTGGAATGAGATTTCCTCTCTGGATCAAAGGAAAGTGCTGGAAACTCGAGGCACTGCAGGATGGGCATGCTGTAATTCTGTCAGAACAACATGTGTTTGAGAGAGACGAGGCTTATGAAAACCAAAATGAGAATATTTTTGCTGGTTCTCTCTGCAAAGCCCAGCAGTGAACCACAGCGTGCAGTATAGTTTACTGAGCATATAAATGGGTTTTATGCAGTGTGGGTGTGTGAAATGCATATCTTGACAGCCTGCGTTGGTTATAAACACTGTAAATGTGGAATGAGGAGTAATAAAATCACAATTGCATTTAGGAAGAAACAGTTCCATTCCAACAATATGTCAACAGTTTGGAGGGAATGAACAGCAAAGCCAAAAATCGCCCGGTAAAGTCCCAAGTATGAGGGCTCCCAGTGAAGAAATAAACAATGAGAAATTTCAAAGATTATCTTCAATGGTATCTGCCGCTTTATTGTCACCGTTATCACATGATCACATTCCTGTTTCTGAACTCCACCAGCTTCAATAACACACAGGGGGTTCTGAACATATATGTATTTTCAAACATCCCTCGCTATCTGCACGGTCATCTGCTTCGGGGAGATATGACTTTGAGACAGCAGCACAGGTTGCACTGGTATTGTTCACAAAGATCAGGGAGAGGGGTCCTTGTATTCAGGGATTCACTACAGGATAAGAGAGAGGGTTTAAAACAGGAGAAGAAGACTGGCTGATTGTGTGCCCACATGTCAACTTTGATCCTTGATCAGAGGCTAGGGGTTTGAGAGGCCTTAAAGGCGGCGGGGCTGTCATCCAGAAAGTGTTTCATATTCTGATGCCGGCAAAAAATAGTGTCAGATAAAAGTGTGCCAGAGGAAAAGTGACATTTATTACATTTTCCAGCTTCGGAGTATGTCAAAAATAAGGCTTGTTTTTGGCTGAATGATTTAAAAGGAAGGCTCAACTTAAAGATAGACAGAGAAGTGATGGACTGTGGAAAAAGATGCATTTGTATGTCTGGAGAGGTTTATGTCACGCTAAAAACGTCCTTTTGCAGACAGACTGAACACTACTGAGAAGAAGAAAGAAATGACCTCAGTCTTTCCCTGCGCACGGTGCCACAGACTGTCCCCCCTGCGCTCACCCACCCACCCTGCTCACCTCAGCTCTCTGCAAGTTGTGGCTGCTCATCCTCTGTCATCTTGGTAAGTAATCCCAGTGTGCTCCATTTAGGAGACAACTGCAAGCATTTTTGGGCATGCTCTTTTCGTTTTATGTGTATTTGCAACATACATATAGAAATGATGAACCCCCACAGGGCCGAGGTAGGTGGTCTTATTAGACAAAATTGCTCCTTTGGTCAAGCTGATTGTTAACTTCTGTGCAGAAAATGTTCAGAGGTGCTTCAGCTCTTTATTCTCCTCAGTGATTATAACCCAATCAGGAACCTATAATCATTCCCAGCACCATGAGACAGTTACAGAGGTGTACTTAAGTTTTGCTTTGTGGATATTGTGAAAATCACATTTGCATTCACCAGAAATCCCTGAAAGGAAAGAAGAAACCGTTATAGGGAGATGAATTGACCCAGCAATCTTTCATTTGTACTTTGTATGTGTCTATGTGTGTGTGCATGTGTTTTATCCCAGCCTGCGCTTTAACAACCCAACTTTGTGGTATAGCAATAGATTAAAATATTTAATTTTGAAGATTAAAAGTTGATACCATGTTTGTCAGTTCAATATGATCCCAGATCAAGGTGCAGGTTAGTTTAGCTTATAAGAGCAGGAAACGCATAAACAGCTATGCTAACAGGTTTGCAGTATACTTATTATTAACACACACACACACACACACACACACACACACACACACACACACACACACACACACACACACACACACACACACACACACACACACACACACACACACACACACACACACACACACACACACACACACACACACACACACACACACACACACACACACACACACACACACACAACCCCTTATTTTACAACTCCTTAATGTAGTCAACATTAGAGCCAACTATCATTCTAGGGTTATCATTAATCATTCGCTTTCATACATCAACAATAATCCTGGATTGCTTGATATTATATCTTCATCATCAATATATGGCACAGACACACTTTAATGCTCCACATTTGATTTGTATTCCTTTACTTTTAAGCCAGAAAAGCAAATACCCTCTAATCTCGCCTGTCACTCTGCAGTAATTGTTTCTCTAGATCCACCGGCCTCTCCCTATTGGCTCGTCAGTGTCCCGGATTTGTACGGAGAACATCATGTTACGCCAAATACTTAAGACGGTGAAGACAGAGTATACTTTGTGTTTTCATCCATTTGTGTCTGTAACAATTACTGCAGGGAGTAAATGATTGCTTGGTCAAATCAGAATCCAAATTAATTTTGGATATGTTTTGGGGAAGTCCACTAAAGAGCCTTACTGCTGTCATTTGGACGAGCAGCTCTGTTTTGTCCCCTAAAAACACAAACCTCAAAACCCAAAGTGAGACCAGATGAGCCCTACAGGAAGGAGAGTGTGTGTGTTGTTAAAGAGGTTTTAAGGGGTTAAAAAAAGAAGAGGTTATACACTTAGAATACATTCCCACAGGAATGAGGCTCACAGACAACCCAATGTGATTATCAGCTTTACGACAAAGTGAGGGTGTGGTGGAGGTGGTGTTTTAAAGAAAGAGGACAGATACCATAACCGCGTTTCAACCTGAGGCTATACCTTATATATATCATAGGAAAGTTCTCAATTATATTTTTCGGCCATAAATATGAAAATCAGTAATTTTTGTAAATTTGCTTTTTTTTCCAAGAGAATCAAATCAAATCAAGTTTTATTTATATAACACATTTATAAACGATTTTTGGTGGCGCCAAAGTGCTGTACATATAATAAAAATAGCCTACAGTAGAGACACTTTACAGCAAATACAACAGCACAGATTGTTCAGAATATCAGTATAATGAAGAGAGAAGTTTGATACCAACATTATTAGCACGGTTGGCTACAGTCTTAGCTACAACCAGTAAGCCTAACTTAGCATTAGGACTTGAAAGAGCTATAGGCTGGATGTCTGAATGAGATAAAAGAAGATCTAGAGATGACTTTTGTTGAAATTGTACCCAAAGAAAAGTTCAAAAGAGATCACTCACCAATTTACAACCAAATACATATACCAATAGCCCCACAACATATAGCTTGTTACTAATTGAGGTTAACAGGTGACAGTTGTTGTTACCTTTTATACAGAGCCAGTAAAGCTGCATCCCCCTGCATCAGCTGAGCTGTAGCTACATTGTTAGCATACAGACATGAGTAGTATTGACATTATTATCTCCCTCTCAGAATTAAAACAAATCAGCGTTTTAACCAAATTATTTTTATTCAAGCCTTTCCTCTTCTTTATCTGGTTTATTAGAGCTTTGGAAAATGATTGTCCAAACAACTTTACACCAGAACATATTTGATCAAAACTTTTAAAGTTTCCACAGAAAAACTTCAAGCCCTAAAGTTTTGAAGATAATTTCCCACCAGGCCTGTTCTTTTCCTGGTGGGTCACATATTTGATCCCGTCCCCTTCGGCCAAAACAACTGACAGTTCCTTTGCTGATGGTTTAACTTTTTGAGTTGCACATAATTTAGCATTCCTGAGAAATGCAGACTGGCCCCACAGGGTAGAAGCCCATCTCCTGTTTTCTCTCTCTTCTCTCTCTCTCTCTCTCTCTCCTCTCCTCTCTCTCTCTCTCTCTCTCTCCTCTCTCTCTCTCTCTCTCTCTCTCTCTTCTTCACACACACAACACACAACACACAACACACACACAACACACACACACAACACACATACACACACACACACACACACACACACAACACACACACACACACACACCCACACACACACACCCACACCGACTCTGGCCTGCAGGATCTCATAGGGCAGGTGATAGGATAGCATTTTAACAGTGAGGCAATGGACAGAGCAGTTTTTCCCAGTTTTCTTTTTGAGAGCGAGAGCTCTCTTTTCTCACAGTCGATGTGACAGGTTGGAATTTGAAAAACATGGGAAACTCCAGAGCGTGGAGATACAAACTGCTGTGGTTTTACACCAGTAATTACAGTCAGTTAACACCCATATGATGACTGTTTTTATTTACAGAAATCGTCCAGGTTCGACTTGTTTACATAAATGAATGCATAGCCCCCGGTCATCTAATGAGACATTTACCCAGATGGTCGTTCATGCGCATCTTAAGCCCTTCCAATTGTTGTGTGAAAATTAACAAGCACTTCCATTTTGGGGGTGGTTCTGGCCCAGTTACAGTAGCACAGTGTTCGATCCAACCGGCGGTGTCAGTGAACTGCAAAGATGGAAAGAAAGTTGTTTTTCACACACTCGGCGGAAATAGATGGTGACAGTGACACATAAAAGGCAGTGCTGTGGTGTGGAGCTGACGTCATGGCAATCAACGTTTAAGACGACGAGGCCTTTCAATGAAGGAAAGCCACACGGAGCAACCCACAAGCATTTCAGTAAGTAACCGTCTGGGATTGGGTACCACAAGTAGTACATGTGCACGCAGGCTGGAACAATAGGCCTCTACAGGCACATGGAAGCATGCATAACACCCCGAAGGAATAGAAGTCTCTGCACGCATATTGACAGACTTCTTATACGCAGTCAGACACAAGCTGCAGCTCAAAATGTTTCACCTTCACAGCTCTGTCAGATTCGTAGCCACATGTCTCAGTGAATCCCCCGAAGTGAGCTTGGAGGCATGAAACTGTATACCGAAGTAATCACAGTTGTCTCTTTTTTAACCTCTTTCTCACTCGTCTAATGTCACGAAGACACAAACACGCACACGCAAGTTCCCCTCACACCCCCACCTCCCTCTTGTCCTTTTGCGTCCACCCTTCCCAACACACCCAACATCACTTTGGAGCCAACCACCAGATCCCACTTTTCACCGCAGAGCTGCGGATTAGAAAAGAAGGCATTTCCCAAATGGTCTGCGGCTTGTGCGATGACATGATTGTCAATCCGTTTTATTCTCTCTGTACTCTTTAGATCCTCACTCTCCTGAGTATACTGCTCCTATTAAACACCAGAAGAAGCTAAATAACAGTTTTTAAAAAACATGAGGCTCCTGTGCAGACTTGCTCACCGGAAAAGGCATTTTAGTTTTTATTGCAAAGATGAAAGACACATTGAAAATTGTTCTGTGCAGCTGGTCTCTAGCTGTTGACGAAGGCCTGCCTGCAGTTTTGTTTATTTGAAGAATATCTTGTATCTTTGTAGATGTATACTAGCAATGTAATTTAACCTCCTGGCTCTAGATGCTACTTGAATCGAATCCTCATGAAGTCAAAATGAATCACAGCAGACTTTACCTCCGATATAAATTACTCCCATGTTGAACTCGAGGCATTATGTGGATCTAGCACTGTTTAATGCTTTCAAGGCCGTTGAAGCTGTTGTATAAGCTCCAAACATTCCCTCTTCTCAGATCTTTAGTACATTCATCCTTTCAGTGATGTCTCTATAAAGCTGCAGGGCAAGACTGCGAGTCAGGAAGTCCTCCTGGAGGCGAAAAAGATGGATGCACCTGTGTGAAGGTAGTGAGACGCGAGGGATCGAGAGTGGGTGGAGAAGAGGAAGATCATTGTGTGTGGACTGAGAGATCAGAGTGTTTTTTTTGTTCTGTCCTCTGTCTCCATGTCCATCTATCATGCCTACTGACTTTGCTTATGTCTGTAGATTAAAGTTTGGGAAGGCTCCAGGAGAAGGGTGGGGCCTCACAGTCGCTTTGTTCTTGGCTTTTGTATTCAGTGAGCCTCCCCACCTGAGGGCCCGTTCATTGAGCATCTAACATACAGCAGAGCGTGTGTCTGACATCTTTTATTTCTTCAAAGGAGATGTACTTCAGACACCACAATGTGAGCATTAAACTGGATTGTTTCAGGATAATGACCACATCACTGCATAGAAAACCAGAACCAAACAGCAGGCATATTCTCTGATATACGTACGTCTTCAATCTGGAGTACATTATCTGTAAATATCTAATTCCAGAGACAGTAAAAAAGAAACTACAGCCATGCCTCTGCACCGCTAAATGAGTATATCCTGGGCGGTGGTTTCAAAGATCTGTCATGAAGGCTTTAAGAAGATTCTCCCCGGTATCTTGCGGCTATCGCAAATGGTCGACAGCTTCTTCCTCATACTGGAAATTACCAAATGAGAGTGGAACATTCTGCTTTTGCTGAGGAGGATTTGTAATTTGCTGTAATGGCTGACACATGTATACGCCATCAGCCGGCCTCTGGAAATCTCTATCAGTGATCACACAGGGAAGCACCTGAAGGGGCCGCAGATGTAAATGTAGTCTGGACACGCATTCATAAATGCAGACACATGAATGCGAGTAAAATAAATAAAGATGTCGAGATACGCACACAAATACATCAACAGAGAGATATTATCCAACCGCAATCCTATACATACAGGCACAGTTCACAACTTGAATGTCGTATTTGTTTCCCCAACACTGCTGCTCCCTGTTTGTTTCTTTAATCTCACTGTTTATATTTCTGGGTCCAAACCTGTCAGTGTAACTCCAACTAGAGCAATTAGCGTGAGGGAAAAGCAAATAAAATGTCTTGATCAAAGCAGAGCCTGGATCCTGACCTCATTCTGACTGAATCTGCCGCTAGTCCGCAGACAGACATTTCCAAAGCTGTGAATTCCTCAGAGCCAGGCTGGCCTCACGTTGGATGGATTTACAATGGCTGTTTGTGCTCCAAAACATATCATTATTCTATATTTGCCTGGGTCATGTCGGAATCCGCTGAGACCTTTGTTTTAGCACTTTCTTCTTTCAAAGCGGTTTTACATCGTAGTTGCATATAGGTTTAACATTTTATTTAAACTATTCTCGGAATCAATTTTCTCATCTAACTTAAGAAAATCAAGTGAATAAGCGTACGGTATAGCACTATTTATTCTTTATGTGCCAGACTATTTCACAGTTTGGGACCAGTTACTTCCACTAACTTTCTGACACTTGCTAAAAAATGGTCCATCACATAACCCTGTAAAAACTGACAGTTTAATGTATTGACTTTGCTTATTTAACAATGGGAAAACAAAGTGTTAAAAAAGTGAGCTTTTAAGTTGCTAGTTTGTGGATTTTGTAATCTTTGGATGGATCCAGGTTTGCTGTTCCCCCTTGTTTCCAGTTTCTGTGCTAAGCTAAGTTAGCCTTCATATTCACTATCCAGACAGGAGTGTGCTATCAATGTCTAACTTTTAAGTGTCTTTAACCAAGCAATTTCTATTTTCTCTGAGGACATAGGAAGAGAGGTGAATAAAAATAACAAATAAACTTCTCAATCAGCCAACACAGTAAGTTTGCCAAATTCATTTACTATCTCTGTCTGAAACCTACTGTGCCCAAGGGCTGAGGGTGTGTCAGTGTGTGTGCACCTCTTTCTCAGACAGATTATAACTTCACCTTTACCTCTCCTCGCTCTCTTTCCATCCATTCTAACAGCCGCTTGGTGTGTGAGTCAGGTTCAAAGTCTGAACTCCATCTCAGGTTCAACATCCATCTCTTTGCCAGAAGAAACTTTATACCTGCTGCAGCTTCACAGAGTCGGGGGAACATCCCGGTGCTGATCCTTCCTGTATAACCCCTGAGGTGCCACACTCAGCCTCACATACTGTATTTATGGTACGGAGCAGTCGCAGGGCCCCCCTCATGTTTCGAGCCTATTGTTTTTTAGGTTTGTGTCGGCAGACTTGTCACCGTGTCGGTTATGTGTTTGGCTCAGTGTTGAGTCTCAGGGTGCAGGTGGAGTACACGAGGTTGTGGATATACATCCTCAGGGCTTCTCTTATTCACAGAGATCTATCATATTGGTTCAAAGGGGCAAGGATTTTCCTCAGTGGGATCAGCTTACATTTGTAAAACAGTGATGTGCCTGTAGTTTATAATAAAAAAACACAAGCTATTATTTTTTTATTTTGGAAAGTTCCCTGAAAATATATCACATAACTTTAGGCATATGTAAATCAAACAGATCACAAATAATACAAATAAAAAGTGGATTCTGTTCGATGGTTTGTGGTAACAATGCGTAATCTACATTTAGTTATAAATAAACATAATTGATTATGTTTACTATGTGGAAATAAACACACCGGAGTCTCTGTATGAAGTTTATGTCCCCATGAAGCATGTTTATCTATAGCTTGAGGAGGGAGGGGTGGAGACGTGTAGAAAAGGGCGTAGGATAGGCAGAGGGGAAACCTTGAATGAGAAATTAGTAGACCTCACAGCAGCCTGGAAGTCTCATCTGACTGCAAATAAACGAGCGATGTTTAATGAGAAAACTTCCTTCATTTACAAGGAATCATTTAATCTTTTCTGACTAAAAGAGACAAAGATTATGAGGATATTTTTTCGACAAATCCATCAACTTTTCAATGTGATGCTTCACTTTTACGCAACAGGTTCTAAAAGATAAATGTGACTGTCAACTCCAATCAATGTAGGAAAAAGAAGCAATGCTGTCCCCGTTTTGGACCTTTGGCACCGAGCAGGAGATCAACTCATGGGATGTAGTGGATGCAGAGTCAGGTTCAACTTTGGCAAGGTGCTCTCCAAAGTCTCGGTGTTTTTTACCATGGTCCTGATCTTCACCTACTTCTTCTACTGCCTCACCGGATTCTGTGATTCGGCTCCGAGGACTTTATACCGCCAACAAGTATCAGACTATGACGCTCTGGACGATCATCGCCGCGTTTTGGACGAGCTGCGACCATCTCCCCGTCTCCTCCCGGACGCGCAGTCTCAGCGGAACCGCTCAGGCTCCGCGGACGCAGAGCAGGTGGACACACCCGGACAGTTTCCGCAACATATGTCGGAGAGTGCAAACGAGGAGAGCGCACAGAGCAACGGCATCCCCGTGTCCAACACTTTCGGCACCAAAAGGTTTCCGCAGGCGATTATAATCGGCGTGAAGAAAGGAGGAACCCGCGCCCTGCTGGAGTTTCTCCGCATCCACCCGGACGTGAGAGCAGTCGGTGCGGAGCCTCACTTCTTCGACAGGTTTTATGATAAAGGACTGGAGTGGTACAGGTGAGCAACACACAAACAAACACTCACGCAAGTTTAGGTTGCCTTTTAGCTCAAGAGTGTGTGCAAAAACTTTTAACACCTGTCATTTAAGATTAAACATTTAAAGGCTTTATTGCCAAATGCACAGTAGCTACAGTGCAGTTATGGCAATGAAAGAAAGTCCCAGGCAACATAAATAAGACATAGAAAAATAGTGCCAAAAGAAACAGAATATAAATGAAATAGTCGAAGAGAATGTTGAAAGTGACCAATGTGTAAGTACACTAAAATAGAGTATGTTACCAAGTAATAAATGTCCTTTGAGCCCCAAAAGGATGATGCCAAGTTTCTCTAGAATACAGCTCTGGACAGACAGTGCAGGGTGATGTATTGCAGGGTTAAGGGTCAGATGAGCAGTAGTGTCACCTGTGCTCAAGTGCTGATGTGTCCTGTCAATAGACTGGACAGCCATGCCTGTCTGATATATTCAGATCACCATAAGCCAATACTCTCCCTGCATGCTGCACTGTAAATCAAAAGGGGTCTCAGAGGAGCATTTCATCATCTTGACAGCCATATAAACATCATTTATACCCTTCAATATGACATCCTGTATTAACACTTCCACTGTATTCTGACTGGGAGTCATGCAGTGAGATGTTTTGCACATACTGTGTAAAGGATATAAAACCTGATATGTTGAATTATGTATACTGTTGGTCTTTGCTGCGAGTCACGATGATTTTGCCCATAACATGTTCATCAGCTACTGTCACAGCAACAGCAGCTAATTTGGGGTGACCAGGCCAACCAGATATATAATTTGGGTGTAGTTAAGGTCCTAAAGAAGGATTTAGGTCGGGTTGAAGCTGATTCTGATAATTTCCAGATGTTTACAAGCTCCCGAGAGATCCCACTTTTCCTCAAACTCGTGACAAGTGTCAGAATACTATTTCCGACCAGTGAGAATAGCATTAAAGCATCTATGAGGAGAGAGCATAGGTTTGACAGTCGGAAGAGAGCTGATAAATAAGCACTTTGATAGCATGATGGTTCTAGAAACGCTAAGGTGTAATTCAATCTTCTCTTGGCCTTTTTCCATCCCCCTTAGCTGTCTTTTAACTGCAAACATGAGGACACATGGAAACACTTTCACCACTGATCATTTGATCATGCTGCTAAGCTTCCTCTCTGTTTTCCTCAGTGCACAAACATGCATATCCACAACTCCTCTGCTTTAATCCATCTCTCTCCTTTATTTCCACCTTCTCACCACTCTTCCTCTTTTTCCTTTTTTTTTTGCCAGCTTCACTCTCCCTTACTCTTCCTTTAAGTGTAGAGGATGTCTTTATGTGGAAATACCTGTGGCAGACCTTGTGTTTCCAGGGCATGTTTTATGTGATTTTCTGTGTGTTTTAATTAGCGTGACTGGTGCTGTAAAGCTGTTACGCTTTAATGCTTTAGTTTAGTTAGTGCTGTAACACGGCAGCGACAACAACATGATCTGTGACAGTTGGATTGGTCATAATCAGGGTTGCATCTTATAATTCAAGCCCAAGGTGACTCATTCAAATGTCTTTTTGTTGTTCAATTGACAGCATAAAACACAAAGTAATTCAGTTTGGTATCATATATGACAAAGAAAAGCAACTGATCCTTAGATGAGAAGCTGGAACCAGCAAAAGTGTGTCATTCTGTGATTACAAAATGAACTATCAAAATAGATGCTTTTGCAGTTTATTTTCTGCTTATGTAAACAGTTATTCAATTACTCGTACATATAGACAGAAGCTGCCATTTATATTTGACAATTGAAAACCCAGATAGTCCAAGTAAAATCAGTTATGAATCTACTTTAAAAACATTAGCTGTTTTCTACCTTTTAATACACTAGATGCTGAAGGTAGAGTAGAGTTGGAGGGATTATCACAACAAAAGCGACAGCAGCAACATGATCCCAGTTGAAATCACTGAAAGATAATTCCCTTGCTGTCACTGAATCTCAGAAATTCTGGAAAATATGTTTGCTGTCAACCGCAGTGGCCTCCTGAGAAGCTGGAAATTGTTGAGCTCGGTGGTGTTTGTGTGTATTTGTCAGTGACAGCAAGAGCTCATCCAAGTGGAAAAAACAAGCCCACCTCACCTGACTGTCAGTGAACAGCGGGTCAACTCACTGTCACATCTGGAAGCTACACACACACACACACACACACACACACACACACACACACACACACACACACACACACACACACACACACACACACACACACACACACACACACACACACACACACACACACACACACACACACACACACACGCGCACACACACACACACGCGCACACACACACACACACAGTACGATTATAGGCTGCTGTGTATGACAGGCTCTGAAAAGCAACCCTGAGCTTTGACATTTTATCTTGTTGAAGTTCTCCGCTTCATCTGCAGCTCTCGGGTCAACAGGATCATATTTCAGCTATGCATATAGATGTACATTTTTCACTGGATCATTACTTTAATCTTAGTATAGTACGAATGAACGTGCATTGTCATATTACTATATTGATTCTCCTTTTTATTATACAATGGTCAATATAATTTTTTTTTAAAAATGCTTCCAAATCAGATTTGTTTTAATCATTTGGAAGACAAGTCATTATAAATAATAAAGACCAATGCAGAGAACACATGACTTTAGGATCTGACAACAAGTTGTATACAGGGATACTCCACCTGCTCCCACATATCTTGAATGGAGGAAATAACCAAAACTATAGGACAATTTGCAGAAGGATGAGAGTCCTGCTGCAGGGCTGTATATTGTTTTCAGATCTCCGTGCTGGAGACACTTCACAGTTGCAGCAATTTGGTTGTGTGCATGTTGTTCCAAGAGCATTGTACTCTCCGAGACAAACCAAGACCTCGTTCATGTGTGTTTTCCATTGCTTTTGTCTTGAGTGATCCAGTCAGTCCTTGATCTCTCCACTCAGCCTGTCTGTCCCTCCCTGTCCCTCCTTTGCATGTGTTTGCATACAAGCCTGTTACGGGAATGGAAAAGCCACAAATAGTGCTTTCAGAATGATGCAAAGATTTAATGAATTTCTGTGTCGTTTTATGGCTTAAAGGGGACTTCATCCGATGATGGGTTTCATATGGGACTTGAGAACCACCGCATAAAGCAGAAAACCTCAGTTTTCCATGGCACAATGGTTGTGGTTGTCACATATTTGTCATCATGATGCGGGCAGGGATGAGTAACAGACAGATTTTTTATTTTTGTATCTTCGGTTCCTTTACAACATTATAATGAGAACATTTATCGTTGTTGTTGTGTTGCAGCAGAACACACTTTTTAAAAAAAGAGATTAGCCCTATTCAGTCAAAGAGCTTTGATTTAAGAATAACATACCTCTATGTATTTTATATTTTAAAAATGCATTACTTTATTCTTAATTCAAGAAAAACACCAGTCCACAAGTTCCATCAATACTTTGAAAGCTTGTCAATTGCCTGACCTACAGTCTTGACACCAAAGGCCATGCCCGATCGGATTGCTTAACATGTAGTATAAATCCTCTGAGGGCAGCAGCACAAGGGCAAGTAGAAACGACAGCACAGCTAAAATCACATTGACTCTTTAGGAGACATACGTTTTTAAGAATAAGGATATGATGTGATGACAACAGATGATTTTGAAATGGTATTATGTCGGCCTTTAAGAAAATGCATGGATAACATTTTTAGATCAAAAAGCTAATAATCTTTCAAAAATAGAAGATCTTCCTCATGCTTTTACTTACTATCTATAAAATATAATATAATGAAAGTAATAATACAAATGGACATTTTTGCTTTAGTTGATATTTACACAGAATAGAGACACAGTTTTGCAGTTAGATTACTTAAGTGTGTTGTCACATGTAATTTGTCAGTGTACTATGCTTACGACTGGTACTGATTGACCTTTACATTTCTGTAGTTTAGTTCTGTTTAGGCTGGTAGGAGAAACAGTGCTTTATTTCACCATAGATTCATGTGAAAACTGCATGCAAGCATGTTTAATTTCAGTATTTTCTAGGTCGGATTCAAACACTTACCATGTCAGTTTTGATATTTGACATTTGAAATGTTGAAAGTGGACTCTAATGCGGAGCGTTTTCCAGAGCGTGGGTGATTTTCCCAACACCTCATTCTGTGTCCAGCCCAGAGGCCATTAGTGATAGAGGCTGAACAGGACTGATTGGTGTAACAGACCAGGAAGTGGTTTCTGTAGTGTTGAGTTGTATTGTGTTTTAATGGTGGTGGGTTTCGGCTGTGGTTGGGTTGAGATGGTGTTATGGGGTTTGAGAAGGCCCACGCTCACACCCCATATGGTGGGAATTATAATAATTTGAGGCGCATTGTGGTGCACTTTGGGGCGCCTTAAAAATCTTTCAGTCGTGCCGTTTTAGCTCAGGACTGCAGTTAGCTTGTGAAAAATGGGCCTACTTTGTGTCACTTGGCCAAAATGTAATTTTTCAGATACTTGGTAGTCATGCTCAGTTGCACTGCCATTTCCAGAGAAGAATAACGCAAGCTGGAAAACAGATGGGAGTCAATCATAATGCCTGTTAAGCATCAGGCTATTGTCATTACAAGGACGGTGTATTATTATCTTTTCTCTGGCACATTTGTGTCCCTTGCATCAAAAGTAGTATCAAACTTAATCCAATATTTTATTAAGATATGATACATAAGACCGTTGTCGAAAAAAATTCCTCAATGAGGTTTTAAATAAACGTATTGTTTTGTTATTGGCAGAGGTATTACATATTCTGAAAACCATGCCTGATCAACATTTTTACCCTGGTAAATATCACTGTGAGGCCTACTTTGCCAAATGCTGAATCCATTACTGATTACCACCAAAGCACACTGACTTCCTGTTAAGTCTTTTAATTATGACTGGATGCTAACATGCCATATAGTCACTAATTAGCCATTGACCAACAAAAGGTAATTTATCATATGGAAA